GGTTTTTTTCCGAATAATGGACTCTTTTGTACCACTCAACATTACACGCCAATGGTGAATGAAACTGTCCACTCTGCTAAATACTTCATTGTTCAAACGTACAATCACCACTAAAATTTCAAGATAATAGCATCATTGGTAACTGAGATATCAGGGTGTATTAATGAAAAGCAGGACACACTGTATAGGTACTTGGTATATTAGGTAATAATTGCATTGATATACAAGGTGATCCATCATCAGGAACATAAATCTTGGCACATTTGCTGAATATACACGCGGTGTTTCAAGTACACGTACTCAAAACATCAAATTTGAAACTTTTCTCGAATATCAAAATTATTTATATTATTTTATTTTCAAAAAACGGAAATAGAAAATCAGATTTGATTTCAACACAATGGATATTTTGAATTTATAAATATCTTGTACCAAATATCTGTCGGATTATTCATGACAATAAACTCTGTTACGATTTTGTGAACGTTTGATGAACCTTAAAAAAAATTGGAAATGAAATTTCATCGAAACTATTTTTCCCTGGCAATTTGATCAAAAATTAACCCTTTTTATTCATTGATGGCACTTTGAATGGAAAATTGAAAATTGAAAATTAAGAATTTACTGATAATAAATGTCAAAAAGTGACAATGTGATTGTACTACAATGTGATTTTTTATTGATATAAGTAAAAATATACTGGGTGTCTAGTCGAAAATAAGAAAAGATACACCTTTAATATCGATTTTAAAATGACTCAAGTCATTGTCCATGATTATATTTACTTTTCACTCTAATTTTTTTTTCGTGAGAAATATAACCTCCAATGGTAATCAAATATTCCTCAGAGATCCGTAAATCGATTTTTTTTCTCTTTTGGTTTTCTGTCGCTTCGAATGCATTCGCAAACGAGCTAATAAACAAATGAATAATAACCTATTGGGTTTCATATGTGGCTGACCTCTCGTAAACAACTCTTTGCTTACTTTTATAATGAAGCAACCACACCTTTACACTAAATTAAAACCGCTGTCCAAATATTGTTTTCTGTGCCAACTTAACCAGCCGAAATTTATGGCTTTGTCCCTTTCGTTGTCTTCCAACAAAGCTGACTCTATCTCGAATCGGGAGGTCCAGATATAGTGGATAATTCGTACTCATTGATTTCTGGACTCATCTGATGGTAATATAGGTCCTGGATTTTTTTTAATACCGTCTTCTTTTCGTCTCATGGTACCCACGAAACGAAATTCCTATGATGTTCGTAGAACATCGAAGATATAGGGAGAGAAATTAGGTGTTGGATTTTCTTTTGAAGTTTCGGAGGTTATATAGGGAATACTTCCATTGGCAAATAATTCCACTATTCACGATTCTCTGAATTCATCCATCATTTTTCGAGAAACGTATCGAATATGGGGTTTATACGGAGTCTATCACGTAACCTGTTGATTGAGAGTTCCCGATTGTCCCATTTGAATAAAATGTTGAGAGTTTGGAGCATTCCACGATTAGACAACAAAAACAATCGATGTGAAATATCCTCATTGGCGTATATATACTCATATAGCACTTTCTTATTTCAAAGGAAACACCCTATATGTTCCAATAGTGATTTTCTACCGTTTTCGAATTACTTATTACGATTATATTGTGGACAGTTTTGTAATTGCACTAGTATCTTCGAAAATGCTTTACTCAAAATTTTCCGTAATCGAATCTTTCAAATTTCCACCAGATATAGTGAACATTAAGATCTATGAAGTAGGATTATACAGTGCGGTAAAAAATATCATGTCATTTGAAGGTTTTGGAAAGCCCCGAAAGTAATTTTTTTTTAATCAAACGCCCCATACATATACATATTAAACAAATATGTAAGCTGTGAGGAATTCATGAAACCATGGTATTTATACAGAATCTATAACTCGCTAATCTTTGGAGTTAGATATAGGAAGCCCTATATCAGTTGGAGCAGAATTCAATTGTGCGTGCAGGTATATCTATTTGATTTTGAATTAATTTTTACCGTCTATGAGTATCTACCATATAGTAGGAGTGAAACATGTACGTTGCCATTAGTAGCTAAAATAATTGATATTGAAAACATGATAAATAACACCAGAGTCTAGCCATAGCACCATAGCATAATAATATTTCGCCTCGCTTGCTGCTCGCTGGACGCGAGAATCTGAAAATTTCCGGCCGATCCTGAGAAGAAACATAATTGAAATAGCGAATCACTATCGGCCTAACCAATAAAAGCCTCCATAGTATTTTTCGAATAATTACTTCGAAAAAATAAAAAAAAAAAATTAGCTGGAGTAGGGATCGAACCCCGGTCCTTTCGCTCGTAGGAAGAAACATTACTCTATGATGACCACCACGCTTGTGGCGAAACAAACTATACGAAACAATTTTATACGCTCGTGACTTGCCACCGTGGCAATATTTCCCGTATAGTGGTGATATGGCTAGCCTCTAATATAAATACCTACTAATGTATTCTGGAGCAATACTATAGTGAAAATTCAATGTCTAGGGATGTAAAGGTCTTTATTGAAGTTTGTCCTGTTACTCATTCGCGAAATGGAAAATAACAGAGCCATTCAGCTTGGTGCGGTCAAGAGCAATGCGAAAATAATTCGATTTCCACGTGCGTTTGGATTCTCCCCTGCTGGAACAAAAGCAACGGTCAACACCAGCCTTTCCTGATATATCGATTGAAGCAGTAACAAATGTCAAAGCTTTCAGGGCAAATAAAACTGCAAACAGAATAATTGTGTTTGTTTCTTTGGCACCCAGTTAAACAGAAAAAAGGAATTGGGTCCTGGGGGAATATTTTAGATGCCTGATGATTATGTCGTGATTTTCTATTTATCTTCGCATTTAGGCTACATATATATATAAATGTATATGTTTACCTATATTGCGTGACTCCTATTTATAGAAGGATTGAATGTTATCTCATAGTCTTTATTATTCGTTGTTTACAAGGTGCTGTTTGCTATGAGTTGATAATTTACACTGAAATATAAAGAAGACAATTTCTACGAAGGAGAAAAGATATTATTATTTTCACTCTCTCTACAAAACAAGTATATGAAGTGAACACGTTTTGGAGACTGTGGTTGAATAATCAGATACAAATTATCCCCAAAATATCATATCATTGATAAGAAAAGACAGAATACGTATTTTGAAAACTCAGAGTTTCCATCCTCAGTATAACTGAGGAAGTAATCCGGATTTGCTGGCTCTATAATATCATTCGAAATATTCCCTAGAAATCACCAGCGAGAATGATTATGAAAGTGGGCGATATCCTATTTATTTCGAATTATTTCCACAGATTAGAGAGCGGTTTTGCTTCTCTATATTTATCGTTTGTTATGTGTTTAAGAAGTATCAAATTAGATAAACTCTTAGCGTTACTAGTCTTAAAATGGACAACACTTGATTTATCAAACCGAGTATATTTGAAAAGTGATAAATATGTTCTTTAACACTTGAGTCAATGCTTATTCGTGTTTGCCCAATGTAATTCAATTTATTTCGAAAAATGGTGAGTTGTGAAGCTAGTAGTGGAAAACAGCTAATCAATAGAGATTGTTCCATACATTATTCTTGAAGCCGGTCCTGTCCATTCCCTTTGTATAACAGGCGGACAATGCGAAGCCCTATAACGAGGTTTGCGAGGCCCATCCGTCAGTAAAATAATATATAAAATCATATAGCGAAATGGTTGTAAGAGTTTCAGGTTTTTTACGCACGACTTGGCATATTGAATTTCACAAAGACCTCTTCGATTTCAAATTAACTTGTTTTTTTTTTGGAACGAATTTCATTTCATTTTTCATATTGCTCGATCAAGCGGTCATTTGGCAGGATGCAGGTATTTACAGATGGGGTTGGTGAAATCTAAGAAAGCGAAATGCAACAAAAAACGTAAGAGGATGTTGTGCTTAAAACGGCTCACCATGTTTCACATCCTAACAACACGAAAAAAAAAAACAATAGTCTCGATACTTCGATCACGATCATGCTGGCATTTTCTTGTTCCTAATAATAGTTATGGAGATGGAATATGGACCTATTGTCACTATAAAAGCACTATTTTATTATCAAAAAGATGTTCGAGCCACCAACATGTCCAAATATTTCTTATTCTCCATAACAAGATATCATGTGAATTTTGGAGACTTGGCAACAGTGTGCTGATTGCTGAGAACTGACAAGACCACGCCCACAAGTCGTGCACGGGGTTGTCACGTTCACCGATTCAAATGTCCTCTAGTGTGAATCAATATAATTATTTTTCCTACGACCACTTATAGCACACTGTATATTGTTGCTCAGAAAGTATCTCATATCACCATAGCAATGCGAAAGTGAAAACGATCATTGTGGCAATAATCTCGCACGCTCACGTGATCTTTATTTGCTCTATATAATGTATGGACGATTAAAATACTAATATATCATATTTTCATTTTTACTATCATTTTATGTACATTCATTTTAACAAGTTGAAATTTTGTCGCATGAGAACTAATAATTATTATTAAGGTTTCGGTATTTGTCATTTTGTCATAATCTGCGAGACATAACCTCATTGCTGTCAATGCTGTCAATTGCTGTAAATATCACTCGTCATACTTTCCACAATAGTTGTGTAATATACTATTCCAATCATTGAGCGCTGATTATAATGAAATGATAATGGAGGGCCATTTCGAAATGTTGAAGTCAGAATCAATTTACACAATATTTCCCAGGCTATACGGAATCATTCTTGATTTGAAATTGACATTTTCTCTATCATCTTGAACGAAAAATGAAAAGGATCACCACCAATTTGAGCATGGCCTACTACCAGAACTTTATACAAACGTGTCATTTTGACAGCTCCTTTTTTTCCAGACATATCGAGACTGGAAAAATCGCCGCTGCTGGCCAACGGTTACAATCCTCCCCCGCACTTGAGCCACATGCAGTTTATGCAACTACCGCACCCAGCGGCGGCGCATTCTGCCCTACTCTCCCCCGCTATGCCGCACAATTTGACGCGGCACGACGGGTCCGTCATCAAGAACCAAGGGATGCCCACGATGGAAGCCATCGCTAGGTAAGTTTACCAAAAACTAGAAATGACTAAATAGTCCATCGACCTATAATCATATTCTCACTACATCAATAGTTATTTATGCAACAAGTGCAAAAAGTGAATGTTTATTGCACTCGACGTGAAATTGTCCGACGAAGCCGTTAGGACGAGTTGGACAACACGTCGAGTGCAATAAACAATTTTTGCACGAATTGCATACAACATTTTTTCTACGTTCATGCAAAAAGCAAACAATGATCTATTGAGGTACGGCACTAGGTGTAGGCAAATGAAAAACGCAACTAATTTTTGACTGACGTTTCAATAACCACAGTTGTCATATAAAAAATGTTCGTCATGAGGACAGCACGTTGAAGTAGAATGACAGATGAGTGCAATAAAAACTTTATTGCACTAAGTGCAATGAAGAACTTCTTTTTCCACTAAATATAGTTCAATAAAGTTCTGCTTTTTGCATGAATGTAGAAAAAATTATATTTTCACTACATTTCAACTGCATTTTCACTACATTATAATTACATTTTCACTTGCCATGCATCTTATGGTCATAATGAACTAATTATTTTAGGTTATGTGTATTGATTAGTTTTTCAAAATGTTAAAATAGTATTTAAGGATAGGTATGAGTTCAATTTGAATATCCCAGACAGCACTGGATATTCATAGAATATTCTCTAAATATGCTTAAAAGGAGGAGTATATTCCGAATATTCATCGATTATTCCTAGAATATATACATGCCTCTGGAACATCTAAAAGGAATATTCCAAAGTGAATAGTCGGACAAGTTCAGGGAATATTCAGGTATGAATCTTTCAGGAATATTCCCATCTGAATATTCCCTGTTGTATATTCATGAAATATACCCAACTGAATATTCTGTGCGGTATATTCATGAAATATACCCAACTGAATATTCTGTGCGGTATATTCATGAAATATTCTCAACTGAATATTCTGTGGTGTATATTCATGAAAAATTCCATGAATATTCCTATGTTTCTCAACACATAAATACCATTTATTATTTCAGAGATGTGAGTATCGAACATCAATTAGATGTAAGGGGATTTTGAAACAAAAAGTGTTTATGATCCGATTTCGAACAATGCTCTCACAAGAACTTGATATGTATAACATTATTCAATTCGATTACTGGCCTAGTGGTCAAGGCGTTGCTCTGATAGTCTTGAGGTCACGAGTTAGATCCCTACATGGGTCAATTTTTTTTATTTTAGAAAATGTTTATTGGAATATTCCAGGAACATTCAACATAGAATATTCTTTTGGGTATATTCTATGATTATCTGAGGAATTCCCATTCGCATATTTAGAGAATATTCCACAGATATTCCGGAATATTCCAGATTATTTCTAGAATATTCCAATATTCCAAAAGGAATATGATAGGGAGATTCATGGAATATCTGGTGCTGTCTGGGATAGTATCTGAGTAGAATCACTAATAGTTCTGTGGAAAAAATGGAAAACATAAAATTCTTGCTTGACCCTTAAATACTCAATTGGGAAAATAAGTGGTGCTTAATAATTTTCGTAGACAGTCGCACTAAGCTAAAATTCAAATAAGTATACGGGCTGATTCACGGTGGATGGAACATTAGATGTTTCTGGAGAAAGCAACGTAGGTTTATACTGAAAATTCGATTTCTTGGATAATTAGTTGTGTTCTATCGACCTAAAATATTCTCAACACTGCGACGTTGCCGCTCATATTGAAAAGTAGCAACATCTTCGATTTTTTTAATGGGACACACTATATATTATTGCATTTTTAGATTCTTACGAAAGAGCTGATTTCATCGATCCATTACACTTGGGGTCTAGCGGGAATGATAGCAAAAATATATGGTGTGAAAAATCGAGATTTTCCAACTTCAAGAATTTCTTTCGTCGAAAATATTCATATAAAATTAGTCAAAAAGGTTTTTATATCCCTATCTCAACTTTTCATGTACTATCAATTGATATTTAATTGAAATAGATACAGGGTGGTTGAAAATCTCATTTCTGAACCAGGGTGGTTCCTACCTATCTCGAATAAATATCAATTGATAGTAAAAAAAAAGTGGAGACAGGGACATGGAAACTGTTTTGACCAATTATGAATAGTTACGACACAAAAAAATCTTAAAGTTGAAAAATAACGATTTTTCACACCCTATATCTCTGTAATATCACTGTTAGGCCTCGAATGAAAGAAACGTCTAATGTGCCTTCCACCGTGAATCAGCCTGTATAATTTTGTAGAAAAATTGCACTTTTGATATAACTACATTATTTAAATCAAAAATGGAACATGGAGTATCAAAGAGATATCTGATGGGATTCCAATAGAGGGTGATAGCAATTCGTATTTATGCTGATGTTATGATGAAGTTAAAAATCCGCAGATCTTTCATAACATGGAATATCTAATTGCTTCCAAATAATGTATGATGGGTCCCATCGAGAAGGTGTCGAATTCAGGTATCAAATAATATAAAACACGGGGTACTGTAGAGGTCTGTATCAAAACTTCTCTTCTTATTTCAATTGAATGACTTGACCATTGACATCTAAAGACAAATTATCCTTGAAACTTTTTTTTTAACTGAGAAATTCAATATCACCTCTTGTATATGTTACCAATTACTAAAAGTGAAAGGAATGAGAGCTAGTTAATCCTCAATATGTGAATGAAAACTGGATATTTAAGTGTGAGTTAGAGGCCAAAAGAAGTCAACTAATCATCTTAGAGCGACAAGAAGTCATACGAACGCGCTCTATATATCCCCCTCTTTGTTAACGTCTCCTTATTATACACACCCTCTATATACCGCCCCTAGTCGGCTTCGTGTGTTTTTCTGCTATTTACCCCAGTGCGATATACGTGGTGTCGTTGAGGTTAATAGTGTCTTAGCCAAAATACAGGTAAATCGATTTTAAGCCTTCACTACATCTTTTACTGTTTCAGAAGTCACTTTTTCAGAAAACTCTAATTGAATATCAGAATAGTCAATGGGGAAGGTTCGTTCAGATTCATTTTCATAGAATAAGTTCGGAACTCTCCAGTTTTATGTCCACGCTGTACAGAATGGCGACCAATACAGTCCAAGTCGTTTTAAGTTTCAAATTAAAGCAATTTCTAATTTGCGAGCGGCAGACGTACATTCTGAATCTAGTCTGAAAATAGCTGATGGTGAAGAATATAGCTAGCGAATTGCTATAACGAATAGCTAACGAATGGAAAACGAATGAATAAAATGGGAGAAGTAAAACTGGTGGACAAATACATACATAACCACAAATTCACTCGGAGCAAGAATGCAAAATGTAGTTGGCTTCATTCTGACACGTTATGGTTTTGTTATTTATGCATTGAAATATCTCGAATAGTGCTCGATCCTAAACGAGAATATCATTGAATAAATGAATCACTATCGGTTACATTCAATGATACTATCTTCCCCAACTTCCTGCCATCGGTCAGTATAGAATGAAGCCGACACCCATGGCTCTTTCCTCTTGTTATGCCTGTCAGTATTTTGAGTGGTGTAGACGGACTCCAGGTATTCGGCGCTGTTGCAAGATATAATCAGCAAATTTCCTAGAAAATAGATCCGTTATATTGAGGAACGAACTCATTAGCAAAAAAATAACTGACAATAGTTATGAATAAAATATTATAATATACCGATAGTGAAAAATTATGGATACTATCGCAAAATATCATAATTTATCTTCATTAGTAATCAGCCTCATTCAGCCAATGAGAGATTTATGTAAATTATTCATAATACTAGACAAAGTAGGTAAGCAATATCGAAATTCGAAATTCCCATTGCGGAAAATTGCAAACCTAGCATCGAAAGCCAAGCGAATAGCTAAGTTGTGACCTATAGGAGGGTCAACAGTAAGAACTTACTGTTATATGTTTCAAATTTAAGTACGTTTAGAAAATCATTCAAATCCTAAAAAGAAACATGTTTTTTGATACTTCATGGGCTGAATTGATACTTAGTAGTGAACTGGCTGATTCTGAATCAAGCCTATACCAATTCCTCTTCTCCAGAGATCAGGGTTGTCAATCAGGCTGTCTGTAGAAGAGGTAGAACTTTCAAATAAAAAATTCAGACTTAGTTGAATGCCCATTATCAGCTCCCAAAATTTCAGAATAGTACCATATCGCAAATCTTCTCTAGAATAATAGATATTTAGACTTTTGCGAACTATAGACAAGACCGCACTGAGCTTTACGCGTACTTATACAACTCCGACTTGAAATTTCAAGACAAGACAATAGTATAGGTTAACTTTTATCTTCCCTTGTCTAGACGGCAACACTAGATATTTAGATATTTCGAAAATTTTTCTCGACTATGATCAGACCAAGAAATTCAGCGAGAGTAGATTATTATATCAAGCTGATATCTAACTGGATGATTCGTATAGTAACCCCTTGTAAAAGACGCATGGTCCTAATCTTCTAACCCTTTCGTGACTGTAACACAGAAGAGAAGGATTTAAGTTCAGAGATCACGTCTGGAGTACGGGAATCTTATACTATATAACTGGATATGCAATAATAATTATATCAAACAAAGAGATTACCTAAGATCACTCAACTGGAATTAGTTGAACGTGAGTTTTCGTTTTCCACATGCTGTATATGTTGAAACGAATGTTGAATGGCATTGAAGTGTAGAAACTTCTGATGAATGATATATACATATATCTATAACAGAAACGTATTTTAGAAATTACTCGAACAGATCAACTTCTATATTTGAATGTCTATTTCTTTTCATGAAAGTCTTCAACTTTCTTTCCACCTTCTAATCTACCATCTACCTACGCAGATCATCCCCTTCGAAATTTTAATGTTGGAAGAGAGATCAAGTGACACCTTGTCATAACAGTCATATAAATCATATCTGCAAATAAAACAGTTGAGATATTTTCAATCTATTGGAATTTTCGTCTAAATTGTTGATTATGGT